GGCCTCCGTGTCGTGGTGAGCGTGCCCTTGGTTCTCGGGGGTGACCGGGGCGGCGGCAGCCCAAGGTTTCCCTGGGACGCGGTGAGGCTCCCCAAGCACGTCATCCCGCTGAGTTACCACCTGCTTATCCATCCTAACCTCACCACCCTGACCTTCTCTGGGACCGCCACCATAGAGGTCACGGTCACCCGGCAGACCAGCGCGGTGGTCCTGCACAGCAAGCGCCTGCACATCACCAGGGCTGCCATTGCGGCTGGGAGTGCCCGCTCGGCGCAGAAGGCGCGGGTGCTGGAGCGCCAGGCCTTCGAGCAGGTGGCACTCCTCGCCGCCGAGCCGCTGCAGGCCGGGCAGTACTACACTCTCAGCATCCAGTACTTTGCAAATCTCTCCGAGTCCTTCCATGGCTTTTATAAAAGCACCTACAGGACCCAGGAAGGAGAACTCAGGTAATTCTTTTTGACATGCAAAAGTTTTTGGTAGTACCTGTAGTTATTTTGTAAATGTGAAATTACTCTGTTTTCACACATCGGGGTGGGGGGTGTGTGAACGCTGCGCATACGAAGGTGTGTGACCAAAACCCTTTTTTTTTTCCTCCGCTTAGGGTGCTTGCAGCAACACAGTTTGAGCCGACAGCCGCGCGAATGGCCTTCCCATGTTTTGACGAACCAGCCTTCAAAGCCAGGTTTTCCATTATGATTAGGAGGGAACCAAAGCACCTTGCGCTGTCCAATATGCCAATTGTAGGTGGATACTTTTAACTGCGTGCTGTTGATTGGTGACCTTTGAAACAAGGAAGCAAAAGGAGAACAGAATATCCAGCCATTTGCTGTTAATGGGAATGGTCATCTGAACATTACCGCGGTTCCTCTGTGAGAGTGTGTGGTGCTGTTGCTGGTAGTTTGGAAAGGAATGAAGTTTGGAAAGGAATGAAGAAAATAGCGCGTGGTGTGGGTTCCTGCTTCTCAGCAGGGGTGTGAGAGTGATCAGCACAATGTAGTCTCCATAATCTTTATTTTACTCACAAACTGCTTTCCATCTTGGATTTTAAGATTAATGATGAAATACATATGAATAAATACATGATTCATGTGTATTAACTTAATTGTCAGATAAGCAGGACCTTTTCTGGGGAAAAAAAAAAAACAACTTTGGACTTCAAAAAACATCTGAGAGTGAAAGTGCCGTGCATGTAATAGCTACAAATACTGTTTGTGATTATAAATACTTATGCATATATAGGGTTAACTACGTTTGGTACATTTGATCTTACTTTGGGTGTAAGAGATTCTTCATAATTTCTTCTGTACTATTAGTTACTGGTTTGCAAGGAAACTAACCCTTATAAATGAGGGAACAGCACCCCCCACCCTCCCCCCCCAAGTACCTTTCAAAACCGAAACATTTTGAAAGTTGGTGTAAAAAATCAATTCTTTTGTAGGGAAATGGATAAAATAATGGATAAGGAGTGGGTGCCAGTGCCACAGTTCAGTGTGGCTAAATGTGTCCTGGGTCTAAGTTTGTTAGCTAAGGCCCTCTGTAACCAAGAGGGGAAAAAGGATACCTCCAACACGTGACTCCTTTTATGCTAAACTAGGTATGAATCACGATTCGGAGGAGTTCGTTTCTCTCATGTGTAACAATGGCTGCTGAGATTTATACAGCTTCTAATCAGCTGAAGTTGTGCGAAATGAATTCGATCAGTGCGCTGGCAGACACTGAGAAAAACTGATGCAGTGAACAGTATTTTCATTTTTCTAGTTTTACCAATGTAGAAGTAAGTAACGCTTATGAATGAAACTGCCTGTATATATATGTATATGTGTTTTCATTCTCTGTGGGGGGAAGAGTGGGCATGGGGATGACTTCTTTCCAGTGTTTCTTAGAAATGTGATGTAATATTTTTAAAATGTAATGTAGAACCTTTAAAATGAGAAGAAACACAACAATTGTTGGTGCCAAGGTCCTCACAGGTACTGCTAGTGGCTGATAAGCTGTGCTCGTTTTTTAGGTGAAGTCTGTGACTATAACTCCCTGGCTTGTTGAGGACCATTTTGATACCACTGTCAAGATGAGTACATACCTCGTGGCCTTTATCGTTTCGGATTTTAAATCCATCAGCAAAATAACCGGTCATGGAGTTAAGGTAACTCTGTCTCATTTTAAGTCTGTATGAATACATAATGGTTTACTTTTCAGTTAAATCATCAGATTTATATATCTCAATGTTTTATGGGAATGAAAGGAAAGAAATTGGTTTTGTAATTGGATGATTAGTTTGCATTCTGAGCTTTATTAGTTTGAAAAGTTTTTGGTAATGGGCTTTTTATATAATTATATGCATTGGTAACGTAGTTTGTTTCATGTAAGATTATATAATTAAAGGCAAATGAAATACAGTTTTGATGGAGAATCAGCACTAAAATAAACCTGTGTGAGTTGAATGACCCTAACATGGTAGGGGTGGAAATAGAAGTCTTTGTAGGGGCATACTGGTTCTGGTAAGTAAGCTTTAAAACTTGGATTCCTAATTCTGATAGTATTTTTCTGCAAACGTTTTCATAACTCTTGTATGAGAAGCGTTAGGTGTGTGCTCTGGTGTCCCTTTTTATGGTCATTCAAGTAACTGTGGTAAAGAACAACTTCTGTAAGTTTTTGATGCTGGTATTGAAGTGCTGCCTGCTCGTCTGCTGTAGATCTCTGTGTACACAGTGCCAGACAAGATCAACCAAGCTCATTATGCGTTGGATGCGGCAGTGAAACTTCTAGACTTCTACGAGGATTACTTCAGCATTCCATATCCTTTACCTAAACAAGGTAAGTGTTAAATTTAATTCAATGTATTCAAGAACATTATTAAGCACAGAGAGTAAAATAGCACAAAATCAGTAATTTAGAGTATTAAGACAGGGCCAAGTTTGGCACACAGGCTTTTAAAGTGGCTGCTTCACAGAATTTAAGGTCAGGTTGAAAAGCTCCGCTGGGAACTGAAGATCCTTGTCTTCTGTATAGAGCTTTTTTTTAAAGTATGTTTTTGCAATTACATTTAAGAGACCCCTTGGAAGTATGTGTGATACTTGTGCCTGTGTGGGAACAGCCATGAAGTGGGAGAGCTGGTGAGCGAGTTCTTTGAGTAAAATGACACTAGTACTATTTTAATGTTTTTTCTAGATTTGGCAGCTATTCCTGATTTTCAGTCTGGTGCTATGGAAAACTGGGGACTGACCACATACCGGGAATCTGCATTGTTGTATGACCCTGAGAAGTCCTCAGCATCTTCTAAACTTCGGGTTACTATGACAATAGCCCATGAGCTGGCTCATCAGGTGCGATTTGGGGAAGAATAAGGAGTTCAAATGGGCCTGCAGAGGGGTCGGGGTTGATGGCTCCTGAGCTATAAGCTGAAAATAGCTGCTTCAGCTTGAGGGTGCTCATCTGTGAATCACGAGGACTGTTTCTGGTGAAGGGGTCCCGGCAGGCTGCATAGACACGGAGGGCTGTAAACAGAAATGTGTTCAGTTCAGCAGCTGCGGGGCCTTTGCACCATTGTCAGCCCTTGAAATTAATTGCAGGCCACCAAAATAGGAACATAAAAGTTTGGAAAGGTTAACTGTTTCATATATGGCTCTCCTGCCAAACGTGGTTTCTTTACAAGGTTTCTTGGAACGTGAGTTCCAATACCTGTGTTTTAGTGTATTAGCATTAAAATGAGAATGCAATGGGAAGAGGCCAGGGCAAGCTGTATCACTAAAAAGAGGCTCCTTAGAGGTCAAGAACGTACTATAAATGCAGTTTCATACAGGTCAGTGGCAGCTTTTGTGATAAATGGTGTATTTGATTTCAGGAGTGCTTTTTTTTTTTTTTCCCTCCCCCAGTGGTTTGGCAACCTCGTTACCATGGAGTGGTGGGATGATCTGTGGTTAAATGAAGGGTTTGCAATGTTTATGGAGTTCGTGTCAGTCAGCGTTACCCATCCAGAACTGAGAGTTGTAAGCAGCTGTTACTGTATTTTTATTGTTACTGTATTTTTATTTTATGACTGCCTTCTGAAGGAAGGATAAAGACCAAGCAGATTTGTGCTGTGAACCACTTTTAGATTTCTGTTTAATAGGATTATCTGATGTTAACTCTGAAGGATAGGAATGTTAATTTAACTATATGTAAGTATTTTCAGGAACTGATGATGGAAGTTAATGATTGTAGTGAAAGTGTATTCTTTTTTTAAAGACATTCCAAAATAAATAAATTATTTAATCTTATTTCATCAAATAGGGTCAGACTTGAAAACACTAAAATCCTTCCACTAGCTTTAGCAGAGGTCCGATACATGAAATTTTCTACGAAAGTGAGATGAACAGTGCATTTGGGCAGAATTTTGCCGTAGCACTACAGTGGCATGATAATAGGGAAATTCACCTTTTTTTTTTTATTTGTTTTATGGTTACTGACCACTCTGTCATCAAACTGTTGGAATGCGCGGGTGTCTTCTTGGAGTTATTTTTAAGTCTCACTAGCTTGACTATTTAGGTTAGTTTAGAACACTAGAACTCATTTGGCTGTCTGTATTACTGTTTTTTTTTATGCTCTGGAATAAAAAGAAAGATAGGTTTTGTTTTCTTTGTATGATTTAAAGATCATGTGGAATGGACTGAGAAGTGAACAAATAGGGATTCAATGGTCACTGAGCAAAATGTAGTAGTAATACTTGGTTTTGCCTCCTATTAGGAAGACTATTTCTTAAGGAGATGTTTTGATGCCATTGAAGTGGATTCATTAAATTCATCACATCCTATATGTACTGCTGTGGAAGATCCAGCTCAAATTTTAGAAATGTTTGATAATGTTTCTTATGAGAAGGTAAAATACATAACTGCTATTGATTTCAGTTGTACTGCTTGTACTATACAGTTGGATTTTACTGATTTCACCCCTACATACAAGACGTCCCTGACACAGGTTGTTAGTAGTTTTATGACTTGAATAATTCCTTGTCCAAAACACCTGGGTGGATTCAAATGGCAGTTGGCTTTTCCATTTCTACAATGAGGAAGCCTTTACTTCTTCTATCTGTTCTGTATCAATTTAGTCTTAAATAATTTTTTTAGGTTCTTAACCCAAGGAGTGTTTTTCACCGAAGCATTATATGGTGCTGGCTTGTATAGTAATTAATAAAATAACATAACTTACTCAATCAGTGATATTTTTAAGAGTAATGATCAGAAAAAACCAAAGTACTGTTTCAATATACATAAAACCCGATTATTTTTTGATCAGAGACATACAAAAGTGAACTTTTAATGTAGATTAGTGGCATGCTGAAATTTTTCTGAAACAAGGATCTTGCCAGCTAAGCAGTAGTTTTGTAAACACTTCGTCCTTCTTTTTTCCAGGGATCTTGTATATTAAATATGCTGAGGGACTACCTGACTGCTGATGTGTTGAAAGCTGGACTTGTGCAGTACCTGCAGAAATACAGCTATCAGAATACAAAAAATGAAGATTTGTGGAACATTATGACAAATGCAAGTATTCCTTACTCTTATGTTTTTCAATTTCGTAACTTCTCATGAATAATGTGTGTCGCTAATACATTACTGAAGACTATGACCAGTATTTATGATTATGACATCAGAGAGATGCCCAAAACTTCTGTTTTTTTCTTTTCAGATTTGCCCTACAGTAGGTAGTGATAAAAATGAACTACAAGGTGATGGTTTTTGCAGAAGCCAACAGTCATCTTCAAATGCAGTAAGCATCTAGTTTTCTACTCATCAGTATTTAGGAGTTTGACACGTATCTGTGCCTTCTCACGTTACTATTCCATGCCGTGGCATTGATGCGCGCACCTTCCAAAAGCATTCTGTGCCACTTGAGCATGGTTCTAGGGAGAGTGTAAGTTTCTTCAGTTCCATTGGAAACCTGTTTTCTCTGAGATTGAACAGAAATCCTACTCCTGTGCCCAGGGCTGACTGAAAAACAGCAGTGCTTAAAGCAATGTCATTAACTATATGAAAATGTCCACAAGAAAATCGTCTGGAGATGTCATGATATCCAGTCTAAACATACCTATGTAAAGCTTACACATACACAGCAGCTTTTAGAGTTCTTATGTGCCCATTTCTGTTTCACTGTCAGTGTACTCCATCTTCCTCCTCTTACGTGTCTTCTTTTTCCCTCGCTAAAAACCAGCACTGGACTAAAGGAGAGACCCTTGATGTAAGGGCAATGATGGACACTTGGACACTGCAAAAAGGTTTTCCCCTGGTAACTGTCACGGTGAGAGGGAAGAATGTCCACCTGCAGCAGGAGCGCTACATGAAGGGAGTAAATTCTCCTTCATCCACAGGGTAAACAAAATGGGGAAATCTCAGCACGCAAACTGAAATACTCTCCTATGGCAAACACTGTTGTACAATAAGAGCTTTTGCTGTTGTTTCTTAAGGAACGCTCCCTGAGCTGTTTAGTTGTGAGTCTTTCCCTTTGTAGCTCAGGATCAGTAGTACCCCTGTCATTGGACCCTGCATGCCTGTCCAAGGTCCCAGCAGCTGCAGAGCTGCCGTGGCCAGGCACCTGGGTGAGCTGGGTGAGCCTGCGCTGGAGACACGCTAGTGGAACTAGGCTGGAAAGTTCCTATTGTTGTGGCTTCAGTGTCAGTGATCCCCAAAGCAAACTAAATGCAAGCTAGCTAGACGTACGTGGCTCTGCACTGAAGTCAGAGCTGTGAGTGCAGCGCGTTGCTGTTACTGTATGGGCAAAAGATACTACTTGGTGGTTAGACTGGGACAAGCTGGAGAAGCTTTTGCAAAGTTCTTTCACTAAACAAAGCACTTCTGTTTTGCGATAGGTACTTGTGGCACATTCCACTAACCTACATTACCAGTAAATCTGACACTGTTCAGAGATTTTTGATGACAACTAAAGCAGGTAATTTCTTTGACTAATTAGGCCATTAATTTATTCAAAGTTTGTTTGCAAGACTCTTAGTTTTGCAGGTTTTTTTCAGAATGGGGAACTGGAACTACTAGTGCCAGAGAAGCAAATTTTTGTCAGCTTAATACTACTGCCATAACGATCTCTTAATATATTCAGAAACCATGTTACTGTGTTTTCAATCACTGAAATGAGAGTAACAGTATTATTGGGTATAGTACTAGGATGTGTTTGAATCACTAAGAAAAAAAGGATGTTATGTTATGTTTTTTGTTTCCAGATGTCATTATTCTTCCGGAAGAGGTGGAGTGGGTTAAATTCAATGTGGATATGAATGGGTATTACATTGTGCACTATGAAGATGACGGATGGGATCGTCTGATTAACCTTTTGAAAGAGAACCATACAGTGATTAGCAGCAATGACAGAGCAAGTCTCATCAACAATGTATTCCAGCTTGTGAGGTATGGCCTTCTGTCCAAGTCTGAAAAAATGCAAACTGTATTTATGAGTATATATCACTGAGGAAGTAAGTGTTGGTAACGTATATAGTATTCATCAAATCTATTAAATAGACTGAAAGCATATTATTTTCTTGCTTACAGCAGTGTAAATGTGGGATTTCTCTTCGCTGCAGTGGATTTATCTAAGCCTATTTAGTGAAACGTGTTCAATAAAGACATGCTAACAGAAGGATGCCAGTGTGAAGTGATGGACTAGGATAATGTTTTTGCACCTGGAAAGATACTGGTGCCATTTGTCAGTTACAAAGAAGGCTATTGCAGTCATAAAGATGTGACACAATTATGATCCTCATTAGTCTTAGTTCTGTGGGTGCATTAGAAAAGGCTGTGTCTTAGAAGCGCTTTGCAAACACTTCTGTGTGGCAGCCTGGCACAGAGAAATAAAGAGCTGACAGAAGTAACTCCCGGTCTGAGTGTACGGTGTTCAAGAAAGAGGGTAGTGGGGGGAGCTGGAAGAGAGTTACGACCGTATGAATTTGAGGTGGCAGCTCACAGGGCCATGTCAGCAGGGCTAGTCAAGATTTTTGTTTGGACCGCAGCAGAAGGGTCTTTCTATTTTGAAGAGAAAGAGGAGAGTGATGAAAGACTGCTCTGCATGTTCAAGGAGCTTAGAGAGGAAAGGAAGGGACAATTAGAGATGCAAATTGGGTTAAGCAGGGTTCGTTTTATGATGGGTGACTAGAACATACTTGTATTTTGAGGCAGAAGAGGCAGGTGAATAAGGACAAAATGAGAATGTGTGCAGGGAGCTGACATGGAAAGGAAGCAGAAAAAAGGTTTTGCAGAGGGATGAAGAAACGAACAGGGAGAGTGAGAAAAGACCTCTTGCATTTTCTCTGTTTGCTCTTGGAAGAAATCATTGAGATGTGTCCTGGCAGAGGTAGAAGACAGTTTGCAAAGTCAGGTAAAGACAATGGAGGAGCAGTTGGGATTGTAGCTTTGAGGTTTACTGCAGGCTAAATATTTACATGTCAAGCTAGAAAGATGTTGCCAAGGAAATGATCTCGGTCATTGGATTCCTTCTGTATGTGTATGGTTTGTAGAGCAAAAGCAATAGTGGGGAGGGAGCAAGAGGGAGAGGCTGTGCTCAGAAAACCTTGGCATATGAGAGATGGGGGGGAAAAACTCAACATTTCTAAATCGTAGAATCATTTCGGTTGGAAAAGACGTTTAAGATCATCAAGTCCAACCGTTAACCCAGCACTGCCAAGT